GTAGCGTTATTTTCAAGGCTGTTTGGCAATCAGTAAAGACATGGGAGAGGACAAAAGCTGAATCGTTCATAACAATTGATCAAATGAATTCGGCTAACACGGAAGATATTTTCGAAAAGGTTGTTTTCAAAACTGGATTGGTGTGGTGACCGGAGCTTGTTCAGAAAGCTCGTGCAGCACACCGAGGAGCAGCACGAGAAGATCGCTGCCGTCTCGTTATTGACTGCGGAGGATTCCCCTACGTTGATTATCTTGGACTGAGTACTCTAAGAACGGTGTAGTATGATATTGTGAAGGCATCTTCAGAATCAAATTTTTAGGTTGTTGCTGATCTCATTGCCGCTAATGTCCAGACGTTTTTGGTTGTAAACAAAGGTAAGTCTGTGTTTATATCACCAAGAGTATGTCTTCGTTGAACATACTGACTAACAGAACCCCCTAACTTTCCTGAAAATTAAGCATGGGATCGCAAACAAGCATACGGTTTTTCTCTCAAACAACAGTGCGGCACTTTGTATGTGAGCATAGCGTACACTTTTGATGAGATCGCTAACGTTCTGTAAAAACATCCATGGGTTGACATACTCCACCATGGACCCTACACTCCTTCGATTATAGCCGACCTTCGCAAGCTATTTGAAGTCACCGATTTCTACGAGACAGTCGATAAGAAACGGATCTTCAAGAAACTGGAGGATGCAGTCGCATACGCTGAAGAGAGGTATACTGCGTTAATCCTCATGATTCTAGTACCGAAAATATCACTATATTGCAGAATGATGACCGAGAGAAAGGAAGAAGAAGCTTTTGAAAGAAAAGAAGAGGAAGAAGAAAGAATCAACTGTGATATTGGAGATGTTGCTGAGTTGGAGTTATCCTAGATGAATGAGAATTAGTTTTGTTTGATGCTTTTGAATGCACCAAAAGGGCAGAACTCTGGGCCGACTATGCGTTACCAAACTTTCGCGGTGCTCGCGTCACCGCGTGCGGCACCGCTGAAGCGGCATCGTTGTGACGGAACAGCGACCAGTAAGAGACATGCCGCTTCGTGAGAGGTCGACTGACAACTTACGGTGATGAATTAACCTCACTTGTAACTATTCTGTGGTCAACTACGAGCTTCATTCTACTGTCTATCGCTCTTTTCATGCGGATACTCTCCGTTGTTCACCGAGCAATGCAATCCAAGTCCACAACTCACGACTGATTATGTACCGGACACGAAACAAAAGAAAGCAGATATTTATCAAGATAGAAACGAACAATGTGAACCATATGGAATCTATATTATTAATTTTGGCTTGTTGTAGATAGAAATGCAAGTAACTGATTTACCGTATTATAATGTCAAAAGCAAATCTTTCAAGCTGAATGCCATACACAGCTGAAACACATCATCTTTCACAGAGCACATGCGGTTACCTAATAGAAATCCCCGAATTTTGTCGACATCTGGCCCAAATAACCAATATCAAAAAGGATATAAAAGACATACATGCTGTATGATCGTCTGATAATCTCTATATATTATGCTTTGCAAAGGACATTCTGATAGATAATAAGTAAAACTAGACAGAATCACAGAATATTCAAAAATAGTAGCGTCGTACGCTGGGTATACTGCTGCGAATTAAAGGAGTTAAACAAGAGTCAGATCATTTAGTTATGCCCGAATTAGTAGGCTTTACTGGAAGAATGGGAAAATTTCCAAAAAATTCGGTTGCATAACTAAGAAGTCTGACCTCGAGAATGGTTAAATCATTGTTAAGCGAAAGGATGGGAGTCTGGCTATACCACTTTGCACACTCACACTTTCAAA